AAAAAAAAAAAAAAAAAAAAAAAAAGATGTGAGGAACTGTAATTGCCAGACACTGCTAGAGGGAGTGGAAATTGGTATAACCACTTTGGAAAACTTTTTGACAGTATCTACCAAAACTGAACATATGCCTTACCTATCATCCAGGAGTTCTACTTGTGGGCATAATTCTTTATGTATGGTGTTTATGTCCACCATATATAAAACAATGTTCACAGCAGTGCTATGCATAATTACACAAAATTGGAACAACTTCCATGTGCTTCGAGAACAGAATGGGTTAAATAAATTATAACATCTATTCATACCACGGGATGGTACCAGCAATTAAAAAAAAAAAAAACACTGCTACAGAGAGCAAGGTTGATTCTCATTATTACAATGTTGAGTAAAAGAAGCTGCACATCAAAGACTACACAATGTTGATTTGGTTTACATAAAGTTCAAAAACAGGCAAAAGTAATCTATGGCATTACAAGTCAAAATAGTGGCTACCTGAGGAGGGGGTACTGACAGAAAGGGTAGAATTGCTCTATATCTCAGTCTGATTGTGGTTACTTGGTTACATACATATATAAAAACTAATAGAATTGTACTCTTAAATTTTGTGCTTATTTACTGCATGACAATTATACTTCATTTAGAAAAATCTGGACAGAGATAATATAGAAATTTCTGAATTCTTTCCTAAATATGAAAGAATTCAATGCAGCTTAAATACAGTTGCAAGTGCTGATGCTTATACCTTTAGAAAGCCCATTATGCTACTGAAAACTGCACTTATTACTCAATATCATACATAACAGAAAGCTAGCGTTTTGTATTAATGGAAGCTGAAAAACATATTGCACTACATATTTGAAATTACAGATTTACTAGGTAGTAAAGATAAATGTTTAGGAACTAAACACGCTTTGTTTTTCCACTCTTTCCCCCTTGATTTGCTTTTTTTATTTTTTTATGTTTCGGAATTATTTTAACAAAAGCTATTGGATACAATTCCTGCACTTATATATTGCATATGTTTGTTTACCACAGAGACTTCAAGTTAGAATCCTAGCATTTCAGAGCTGAAGGGGACAGGGACGGACTCCCTCACTGCACAGACGAGGACGCAGAGGCAAAGGGAGGTATGTATCAGTCCCAAGGTTGCAGACCTAGGACAGGGTCCCGGGCTCCCAGAACTCTGTCGCCTTCAAGCCAAACTCGATTCAATCCTCTCATCTTTCCAAATAGAAAGCTGATGCGAATGGATTGGAAGACGTCTTTTTTTTTTTTTTTTTTGCAGTAACAACTATGATACCCAGCAGATTGTTTGGGGACAGTCCTCGGAGTCCTTGAAAACCCCATTGGGGTTTAATGACAGGATAAAAGAGCGTAGAAGAAAGGGACAGCTAGTACTTTAATATGTAAATCTGTTTGCATAATATTTCCTAGGTAATATGTAAATTTGTTTGTATAACATTTCCTAGGTAAACTATTCGTTGATCCAACTAAAATTCGGCGGTGCTAGGGGGAGTCGTTATTGAGTGAGGATGACTCGCTCTAGGGGACAACGCGGACGCATTTTCCCATCGGAGTTCTCTCCATAAATCAAAGCCTCAAAAGAAGAGTTAAAGACGACACCCAGGAGTCTACCGCATCCAGAGGTCGGTCCAGGAGAGGTCCTCGACCACCTGGCGCCGAGCTCGCGGCCGCAGACTCCCACGGACAGCACAGCACCCAAGCGCGCGGGCCGAGCTGCCCCCGACCCCGCGCAGCGCCTCGGCAAGGCGGCCTGCGAAGTCCGGGCCGCCACTCGGGACCCCGGCCCGGGCCGGGGAAACGACGTTGGAGAAGAGGGAAGAGGACGCAGAGTGGGAAAAGCCGGGGCCGCAGGCAAGCAGTGGGCGAGTCCGGAGGGCGCGAAAGAGGGGAGGGGCGCGGGAGGCGATGGAAGGAGCGAGCGCAGGGAGGAGCGAGGCGGCGGGGTGGAGGAGGCGGGCATCCTGATCCACAGTGCGGGGTGGGGGCTGAGGGGCCGAGAAGGGCTGCGAGCGGGCGAGCGGGGCCTTACCGAGCAGCGGCAGCCTGCCGCCGCCGCGCGCCAACGCTGGCATGGCCTCCGGAGCCCGGGGTCCCCAGGCCGCGCCGGCCCAGCCCTGCGATGCCGCCTGGAGCGGCGCGCCCCGCGCTGCAGGTGGCTCTCTTAAGGATGCGCGTCACCGACCGCAAATTTCCTCGGACTGGTGCAAAGTGAAAGGGAGGAGGAACCCTCTCCCCAGAGGCAGGGGCCGAGGCGGGAGCTGAGAGGTTGGGCCGAGCCGAGAAGCCGGTGCCTGGCGCAGCGCTGCAGCCGAACCCACGTGCCCGCCAATGTCCGCAGCCTGCGCTTGGCGGCCCCCGGGGCTCCCCGACTGCGGCGGGGAAGATTGGGCGCGGTCCCGCCGCGGAAGTTGCGCGGACTCCGCGGCTCTGCCGCCTTGCTGCCCCTGTAAGTCCCCGAACCTGTCATTTGGACCCGGGGTGTGGGGACTGCAGGGAGCCACAAGCCACCCTCCTTGCGCGCTGGGATCTTTGAGGCCCTGAGAAGAGCGCTGAATCCGCGCAGCACGCTGGCGGCTGCCGCCGGCGCTCATGGGGTCTCATTCCGTTCTCCGTGGATCTTAATTGTGTACTGATTTCCTTTGTCTCTCCCTCCGTCTCCTAGGATGCTCAGGACCCAGTCAGCGGCGGGATGAAGAAAAACAGGCTGGGTTTCCATATCAACCAAGGCAATTAGGGAGGTTAACAAACAGCTCTCAAAACAAAACATATAGAAAATACACCCCCAGAGGAAGCGGTGAATCATCTGCTCCATAGTTCTTGTTCTTCACCGCATAATTTTTCGAGATGAAAATTATTTTCCTTGCAATGAGTTGAAGATTGGAAAGCTCTGGATGCCAGTTCTGGTTCTTCCCTTACTTAACTGGCCGTTTGATCTCCACAAACCACTTGTCCTCTGTTTACTCATCATGAAGCAAAGGGGTAGACCAAATGGTTTATAATGTCGCTCCCAATTCTAGGAATTTCATGTTCTTAATTAATCGTTTTTTAATAAAGCATGAAAATGGACTGTTTAGGCCATACAGTTCATTACCTTAGATGTTGTCTACAGTACAATAATTCTTTCCCCCGGGGTATGGCAGAAACTTTAAAAGTATCTACATGGTGCAGCCACTATGGAAAACACTTAGAACTTTCTCGAAAAATTTACACTGTCACTCAGGCTGGAGTGCAATGGCACGATCTCAGCTTACTGCAGCCTTTGCCTCCTGTAATCCCAGCACTTAGGGAGACTGAGGCAGGCAGATCACTTGAGGTCAGGAGTTCAAGATCAGCCTGGCCAACATGGTGAAACCTTGTCTCTACTAAAAATACAAAATTGTGGGTATGGTGGTGGGCACCTGTAATCCCAGCTACTCAGGAGGCTGAGACAGGAGAATCACTTGAACCCAGAAGGTGGAGGTTGCAGTGAGCCTAGATGAAACCATTGCACTCCAGCCTGGGTGACACAGGCAGACACCGTCTCAAAATTAATTAATTAATTAATTAATTAAAATAAAATTCCGGACCCTAGGAAATTTCATAGAACAAATAACTTGATTTCGTTAACCAAAATTTGTAAGAAAATAAACAAGAGAGGGAACCTATAGATTAAAAGAAATCTAAGAGATATATTAAGGCCATTACAACATCAAGCAATTGTAATGTGCAATGTAAAGATGTTATTTGGATGCTGATTCAAGTAACCTGAAAAATATATATAATTGGGAAAATGTGATCACTGGTTTTAACTGTTATATTATTTTATAAAAAATTATGTGTGATGAAAGCATTGTTATGTATTTTTTAAATAGCTCCTATCTTTCCAGAGGTACACATGAAATAGTTACAGATACAATGATATGAAATGGGAAGGTTGAGGGGAAATAGGGAGTGACAGTTAAAGGGAACAGGGTTTCTTTTCTGGGATGATGAAACTATTCTAAAATTAGATTATGGTGAAGTTTGCTCAACTCTGTAAATACACTAAAAACTATTGAATTGGCCAGGCTCAGTAGCTCACACTTGTAATCCCAGCACTTTGGGAAGCCAAGGTGGGCAAATCACATGGTCAGGAGTTCGAGACCAGCTTAGCCAACACAGTGAAACCCTGTCTTTACTAAAAATACAAAAATTAAGGCCGGGCATGGTGGCTCACGCCTGTAATCCAAGTACTTTGGAGGCCAAGGCGGGTGGATCACCTGAGGTCGGGAGTTCAGACCAGCCTGACCAACATGGTGAAACCCTGTCTTTATTTAAAAAAAAGAAAAATATTATCCGGGCGTGGTGGCAGGCACCTGTAATTCCAGCTACTTGGGAGGCTGAGGCAAAAGAATCGCTTGAACCCAGGAGGCAGAGGTTGTGGTGAGCCAAGATCACGCCACTGCACTCCAGCCTGGATGACAGACCTAGACTCCATCTCAAAAGAAAAACAAAACATTGAACTGTACACTAAATAGGCCAACTATAGACATGTAAATTAAATCTCATTGAAGCTGTAAAATATGATATAAAGTCAGAGATTGTCTTCAAAATCATTTGATGTGCAGGGTTTGGGTGGAGGAATTAAAATGAACCATGTGTCACCAGTAGTTGCACCTGAACCACAGTCATATAAGTTCATTATACTTTTCTTAGACATTTTCTATAATAAAAAGTTTTCGAATAAAAAAAGACTTTGAAATATTGGACAAGTTAAATTATCCTGAACGTGTGGAAGATGACTAGTCCCACTTAGAACTCATGAGCTGCTTTTTTTTTTTTTTTTTTTT